GGCCTATTTGCTAGGGTTCTGCTCTAACATTGTCTGATGTCGAACGGAGAAACATTGGGAAATACAATCAGAGCAGCTGGCTGCTACAATTCTCCTCTTGACAGGGTTAATTCTACCTAGATATTTAGGCAATGTCGAAAAGCCACCTACAGTCGGGACTTGAACCCCTCACCAAAGGAACTGCAGTGACATCAGTTGATGCCCTGAGCCACTTAGACGGGTCTAATCGGTGCAAGCGTTACGGAGTCACCAACTTTCCGTCACGGTGTCTTCGGATATTATCGAGTCATAAGACTGTTCCCGGGTAGAGTCCAGCAGGTTTTTGGCTTCCTTTATCTGCGCTCCTGAGTCATGTAACACGCGCTTCTGGCGTCACAGAGTACCGATACCAGACAGTATCTTCTAATCTTGACTAGCAAAAGTTAATGGTCCTCGATTAGAATTATAGTCAGACCTTTCCTTCTTCCGCAGACTTGGGACTTTTTTGCAGCAGTTTCACTTACGTACTAGTGACTTGCATATATTCGGATCGGTTGTTTTTTTATTATAGACACAAATTAACCATGGATAATATGCTAAGGAAGAATAAATGCAAAGACTTGTTAGAGAATACAAGTAATAGTTAACTAAATAATAGTTTATTATAACTAGAATAAATAGTTAACTGTTAAAAAACTATAGGAAAATTTAATGGCAATCAGTGAAAAAACTTTACGATTGCATTTGTGCATATGATTATTTTAGAGACGAAAAAGAGATAAATCAAGTTAAACACTATCTAAGAGATCATTATGCAGCAGTATATAAAATTAAAAGGTTCACAGTGTTATTCAATGAGAAAATTATGCTGAATTAGGAACATGTGAAGCATGAGTGAGCAAATATGAAAGTGGATTTTCTCTCTCGCAGCAAATTCTGAAGGAGATTGAACGAAGCGAATGTAGATTATCAAGTTGCTGTCAAGCCTTTTTCGTTGCCAGCAATGAAGAAGGCTGACTCTACTAATGGAGCTGTGAAGTTTTTTAAAGTGCCCTTTCGTATTAGTCATCTAGTCAACTTTTGTGACATTTCTGTAAAAGTGGAAGAACATTAATGTCCGTTAGTGCTACGTTCGGGAAGCAATGCCGAAGAAAAGTATAACAGGCAGAAATTCGAGTCAAGAATATTACCTAATGTAACATAATGTTATACATTTTTAAAATTGCCCATTTTAAAATTGAGAATTTCTAGTAAAACAGGTGCATTGTCGAACAAACAGGGGAAAAGACAGATAGGCCCTTTTACATACTACTCCTCCGAAAACAAAACTTGATGCCAAGTATTCAACAACGACGCGAGCATCTCCTTGCAGAAGGCGGAAGCGTAACTGAACGAACAGGATTGTGGGGGGAGGGGGAGGGAGGGGTCCCACTGTTGTCGCTGTCGCGCGATGAGGCCCGTTCACAGTCGGAGCGCGTCCGCGTACACGGCTCGAATCCGCGCCTCCCCCCCCCCCACCGCCTCCCCGCCCCCTGCCCGGCGATCGCTTACATTACGCCTTGCTGCGTCCTTTCAATATCTTTTTAAAGGGCTCGTAGGGCGCGCGGAGGCGCTCGCCGTCACAGCGAGAGCCCGCTTTTTCCTTCCTTGATTAATTTTACGCTTCGTTCCCCTCCTGCAATCGTTATCATCCCCCCGCCCCCACCCATCCCCACCTCCTGAAGAAAGCCTGCCCCGCCCCCCGCCCCGGCTTTTAAAACTACAAGGCCTCGCGTCGGGGCGCCTTTTTATGGCTTATTCGGGCTTAATCTATCGAGGGGCGAAGGGCTCCCGGGCGGTGCCGTTTCCTTCGGCGTTTCCTCCCTCGGGCCTCAGGGCGGCCGGCGGCGACAGTTGGACTTCAGCCACTCACGACGACTCGTGTTCTCGAGTCAACTGGAAGGAAACATTTATACAGCCGTGTTACCTGAATTAGAATCTTCGAATACGTTTCTCTTGAAACATATATGAAACGTTAACCGCTTCTATGATACTTGTAATTTAAAGAATTTTATTCAGTAGTGTGTGTAATACGAAAGTAGTTCATCAGCAGGTCACCTTAGGAGCAACTTTAATTTGATACTATTTACAATAATTTTATAATATTTACTTTACTCTTCTTCAAGCACAAAGTCTATTAGTATGTGCAACATTTTTATTAATTTTTATTACATATTCTATAAGTGATTATCAACGATGTTTGTAAAAGTTTTGTTCAAATTTTATATTTTTGAATACTCACGACAGCATGGTATATTTTTATAAAAACAAATGCATTACTCAAATTTAAAAACACAGAAAATAACATGCATTTACAGGACACGTGATCTTCATTCATATCTCCATGTGGTTTTAGAATTAGTAATTGAAGCTCAAAAGGAATCTATTTCATTATTATCCCTTCAATATTTATTCTCACGTTTATATTTAAATCGTGCAAGATATATAACACAAACGCGACATAAATATGAATGTAAATCAATATTATCTATTGAATATTCCACTGATTTGAAAGTATGTAAGATTAGCTAGCATTATCAGTAAAATTCACACACAGTTCTAAAAATAAATACTTTTATATTAATTTAAAATATAATTCAGTATGAAATATCCCTTTCTTTAATTTCGAGATAAAAAGTGAACAGAACTGAACACATTTTAAAATCCAACAATTGAAGTTGAAGATCTTCATTCCATCTAGAGATATTCACAACACGGTTGACATCCTTTCCAACTGTCACATAAACAGACGTCGGTTACTACGTCCCCGTTGACATCCAAAGATCTTAGAAAACACTGCATAGATCTGTCTCGTTGGAGAACTGTTTCGGAGCTTTGCGAGTAAAGGAGAGGATAAGACTCAGCCGGGCCCTCAGGCGACAGGATGAATCGTGCAACGTCTTCCCTCCAAGGTTTCTCCGTTCAACGTCAGGCCATGTTACAGCAGTACCCTAACATGTAGGCCACGGACTGCGTGCGATCTTTCATTACCCTTCCTAGTCCTACCTTCTTCCCTTACGTGCTCGCACTCACACATACTACACTACCATACATGTCGGGAGAAGGCTATAGTCGGGGCAAATGCTATTCATTGTAGCACTTACTCCGGAAAGTCAGAGAATGCATGCCGAGAATTTTCACCTGGATGTTTGACTAATTTCGATGTTAAAAAGGCGGCATCGAGCTCAGATTTTAGATTTTACTTTCCTCAAAATCATAACATTTTAGCTATTAAAAATTGAAACATTCCTTACGGCTCAAAAGAATTGATGTCAATTTTTCATCGCTTTTAAAGTCCATTTTTAAAAGCGATGTAAGTAATTTAAAATTACTGATTCGTGATCGATTATTTTTGTGATTTTTCCCACGAAAACCGTTCATATATTTATTGGATTGACCTTAAATAATGAATTCGACAAAATATGAGAGTTTTCGATCATTGAGAAACCTCATTGAATCGTCGTGTTCGCTGACAGAGAATGATGAGCTTGTACTCGCTCCCTAATTAAACACATATCTGCGTGTGAAGGGGTGAGTTGGTCGAGGGAAAAGGCGGTATGAAGAGACGATAGCGTAAGCTTTTATGGAACATCTTGCCTGAAACGGACAATACTACAATACTAACTAGTTTCTCCGTCTGTCTTACCCTCTTTGGTGTATCAGATGTTGCAGGTGCAATTCAGATTTTATTTTAAACTCTTTGTGTATAGACACATTACATGAAAGTAATATATACGCAAACAACAATATTTTGAATTTTATTAGTATAAGTGTGAGTTAATTATGGTCAATATTCTCTATTTTCTTACATTTTAGGCAAAAAAGAACATTAGTCAGGAAGAAACTATCCTCTAATCTCCTTATCCAGGACAGTTCTGAGCAGTGTCAAACACGCATTCAAACCTCAATGTCGAAACAATGTGTCATACTCTCACTATCACTTTTTGAAAACCTCACATCACGTCACTAATTGTCTATTTTCTGTTTTCCTGCACAATGTTGATATACTGTTTAGACGATAAATCATAACACGAGAGAACAAAAATGAATGAGTAATTTGAATAAGAATAGGAATTTTCCCTTGAAGTGATAGCAATACAATACCAGTCTACATTCCTGAAGTCCACCAAAGATGTATGATATTCTAGTGAATGAAATTACCAATGCCAAAATTCAAAAACAATTCTAAAATAATCGCCTGTACTTGATCTTTGCTACCTAATCACCTGTACTGTTAAGATAAATTTAATTAAAATAAATAGCCCGTTGTCTCTAACGCTTTGCAATGTTTAAAGTAAAAATATATAAGACACCGTATAAAACAATTATCTTCTTCCAAATGGATTACTGGCAACGCTCGACTTAGAAATACCACCGTGATACCGCGACATTTGCGCTCTGAAGCAAAGAACTGCTGTTGCAGCCGTATCGTGTCGCAACTTGTCTATCGATCACCCGGGGTGAGATTATTCGACGAGGGGGAGAGCTAGTGAGTAGGGCTGAATTGCGCACGGAAGATGAGGTAATTGATATTACCTATTGATCCTGACCAACCGTAGCCCAGGATAACCCCCCCTCCCCACTCCCTGCGGCTCACACAATCCTTCCTGACGATAGGAGCAATGGGCGTGGGGCAGATGGCCACATTCTGGAATATCCAGAGGTTAGTTCGAAAGAAGCATGTTCGCGTTATAGAGCGCACAATAGAGGAAAACCATATGTGTCCACCTCCACACGTCATCTTCTCGTGTTGTAGAGCAAAGCCTCTTCATTACGGCAAATTCTATACCCGATCTAGTAGCGGGACTGGTGTTCTTCATACGCCTAAATTTTCGGCAGTATTCCTCGACGCAAATGAAATTGAGTGTTTAGTGCAAAACGAAAATTGTGTACTCGTTCCTACACATTCGCAACGAATAACGAAGTCCTGCGTCCTTTCAAGTGAATCGTTGGCGACCCTACCACGACAGTCGCCCAGTGCTACCACACGACAGCACCCTCCGCGACCGCCGCGGGCGACAAAGGTGTCAGCCGCTGCGGTGGCGGCGGCGGCGGCAGCTGAAACGCGTCGAGTCGCCCGAGACGGCGCGGCGGCGCGGCGCCCGTCGCGGGGCGATTAGCCGCCGGGACGCGTCGCCCGGGGCGGTGTCGCCCGCGGGCGCATCAGCGCCGGCCTCTGCTCAAAGCGCGCGCCCGTCACACCTCGGCGCGGAGAATCGCCGTCTCGAGATGCCTTTCAAATAGTTTTGTCATTGTGTTTTGGGCGCTCTCTCGGGCGACGTGTTTCCCGCCGCCCTTGCCCCCACCGCCGCCGTCCGCCTCTACTGTTCACCCCTGCTGCTACCACCCGCTGTCCGTCACCACTTGCCGCCCCCCGTGCCGGCCCCCGTGCCGCCCCCCGTTGCCGCCCCGTGCCCGCCCCCGTGCCGCCCCCCCGTGCCGTCCCCCGTGCCGCCCCCCGTGCGCACCCCCCGTGCCCCGCCCCCCGTGCCGCCCCCGTGCCGCCCCCCGTCCGCCCCCCGTGCCGCCCCGTGCCGCCTCCGTGCCCGCCCCCCTACCGCCCCCCGTGCCGCCCCCCGTGCCGCCCCCGTGCCCCCCCCGTGCCGCCCCGTGCCGCCCCCCTGCCGCCCCCCGATGCCGCCCCCGTTGCAAACACCCCGTGCCGTCCCCGTGCAACACCCCGTGCCGTCCCCGCTGCCGTTGCCAACACCAAAGCCACCTCCACCACCGCCAACGCCGCCTCGGCCTCCACTACCGCCACCGCCACCGCCACCGCCACCACCGGTGAGCAGGCGAGCGATGGTGAAGAGGCGCGGTTTTTCTGTCGCGCCTCTTTCTCGACCGGGCATCTTTTATCCGCGCTTCGCCGCCCGCCCGCGCCCCGGGGTGACCTTGTTTCGGGGGTCTGGCTGAGGCGGTGCGGGCTCTTCGCTCCCCGAGGGGTCTCTTGTTAGCAACGCGGGGAATTCTTGCGTTCGAGCACCTGACACTCAGCGCGCCCGCGACGCGACGTCTTCGGCAACGAGTGTGTGTTGTTGGGTGTGAGGAGCGGGAGTGGGGAAGCGAGGGGAATGAAATAAACAGGCCGAGAAAGGATGAAAGGGACAGTTGGAAGAAAAAAAGAGGAAAAATTGTCATGGACAACAACTAACAGTGAAGATGGAAATTGAAGTAAGAGTGCGGAGTCAATCACGAATGAGTTTCTTCATACAGGAATAAGAAAAGAGGCATGAGAAGAGAGAAAAATAAAATAAAGTGATGAAACGAACCTAGATAGAAATTATCTTTCAAATACTGTATTGAATTTGTGGAGAAATGTTATAGTATGAGTACATAGTCTATTCTTCAAATGCTCACTCATTTAAATTCAAATGTATTAGAAGGCAAATTAAAGCTTCTCGATTACATATGTTTAGATACTCTCTTATGAATAACTAACAATTTAAATTCAATAGAATTATGTTTGAATTCATAAAACGTTTCTTAAAAAGTATTAGGTGGGCATCGCGTAGTAGTTGGGCTTATGATTATCTCATATGCGGACGTATACTATTATATGGACTTGAGATTATTCTCTTTGATGTGTTTTTTCTCTTTCATTCTTTTTTACATATCTTATGACAATGATTTATACCTTTAATTAATAGCCACATAAATCAATGACAAACACTCATGGATACATCTTACAACGTTAAATCGATACTTCGTCTCGTGTGTCTCGACGTGAGAAGACACTCAAAAATGACATCCAGTAACTAGAATGCACTAAAAAACGGAGAGACAAACCTCACGGTATAAGCCATTTTTACCGTTGATACTAACGTCATTTAGGAAAGGAGGCTCCTTCCATTGCTTAAAAGTGAGTTTGTTTTTTGAATCGATTTCTCCATTAAAGTATATTTAGGTATCTATGAAATGCGTTTACGAATAGGTTTTAGTTTTAAAATAATAAGTATGCATAACATTTGTTGAATATTTCATTACTTCATTGTACACAAAGGTTTAATAATAAGTGTGATAAGTACACTGTCCGACTTATCTAGTTAGAAAAATTTGTTGTCGAGTGTTTAGTCAATTGTCAGACAGTTATGGCCAAAAGTGGTTTTCTAGATGTAGATAGGCAATTTGGCTAGTTATGAACGCTTATATGCAACTTCAATTTGTTAAGTCTTTGTCTTTTAAAAGTAAAAAGAGCTTTTTTCCTAGGAGTAATAAAAATGATAAGTCATAACCACTCTATAGACAATAAAGTAGAACTGCTTATGAGGATTTTAACAGCATTGGTCTTATCTAGAAATCTGTAATGATGAACTGGATTAATTTGAAAGACCTTTAATTCTCGAAACCTTGTGAAATTCATCATGAAGAGATACTACATTGAACAGAACAAATGACCAGCCTGCCACAACGCTCAAAAGCACACGATGCCTTGTGTCCAGCTCCACACATCTCGATCTCCCGGGCGCCGGGTAGGCCCATACGCATGTCGCGCGTGTTTTGATACATGGCCGAGCCTAAATAAGAACGAGACAATGCATTCGTATCTCAGATTGAGCCCCCGTTATAAATGGTGCATGCGATGAGGTGATGGACGTGTTTCACTCGACATGTTTTAGGTGTCGCACTGCGTGACAACATCCATCGCTATCAAATGCGACGCCACTACAATCACTTGACGTGGTAGCAGCAGCACACTTCACGGTAATTTATGGGCGCATTTACGCATACCTAAATCCATCCGAGCGGGGAACGCGCGTCCAGTCCATAAGGAGTCTGTGTGGAAAGCGGCGCTCTGCAGGTCGTTATCTGACTCACACACACACACACACACACACACACACACACACACAGGTCATCGTGTGTGACCACTAGAATACAACATTGTAGACAGTCCGGGAAAAAGACCTCAGACGTAGATTGAATGTTACAGGAAATGCTACATCGTCTAAAAATATATGCGCATTATTCTTACATTGAGTAACGAATTACATTAACATATAAAGAACACAGAAAAAATGAAATGCAAAAAAAGGATTTTGTGATCATCAGTTGACATAAATTTCAGTATCACCTATTTTACAAATAGCTGTACAAATATTTGTTTCTTCGCTCTATTTCATTTCGTAAATTGTGGCACAATTCGATAATATGAAATCAACTAACGGCTAAGTTACAATATTTGATCAAATGCATGTTGGTTTGTTTCTCTTTCGCAGTAGTTAATACATAATAAATGTTACTTTTTTCATATTTTTTTGCGCAGAGATTAACGCAATTAACTGATGGAACTCTTTTGTTTCCCTCAGAAAACGATATCATTAGTTTGAATATTTTTTTTCCCCAGCGAGTTTTCCCATTTGTTCACATTTATTCATTATCACATTTCAAATCCAGAAAACAGAAGGCATCGCGCACACTGGCGAGTAGTCGGTTGGAGCCTGCCGGAGAACGAGCGGTGCATGAGGCTCGCTCGCAGACCGTCGCTTTAATGCCCAGTTGGCACCTTGCCCCCCCGCCCCCGCCCCTCACCGCCTCCGCCCGCGGTCCCGGCCGTCTCGCCGCCAACGAGCGGCAACGGGGCAAACGGGGGCGCCTGGCGCCCGGCCGGCGCCATCAACATGGCGATCGCACAGCGCGATACGGTGGCGAGCGGACGGGTGGGCGGGCGAGGCGGCGCGCGGGCCGCGGCACGCGTACGGCGCGGTGGGCGGCGCTGCCACGGCGTCGGGGATGGGCCGCCCTGGCCCTCCGCCGTTCGATGCCGGGCCCGGCGGCGCGCCGGCGGCCGGGCGACGGCCGCGGAGGGGGCGGCCCGGCGCGCGCGCTCGTACGCGCGGGCACGTCCGCGGCGGTCAGGCGGCGAAAGGCGCGCGGCGCGGGGCGGGGCGGGATATGAGAGTGGGATTTCTGCCGCGAGGGGGCGCGGGCGCTGGCGCCGGCGAGGCGGGCGGGGCCGGGCGGGAGGGCGCGCCGCCGCGGGATCGAAGTCGGCCGCGCTGCCAGCGCCGCCCGACGCCAGCGCACGCGCCGTAGGCCGCAGCCGACCACTCGGCG